AAAATTTGAAGAAACCCCTATTTTGGGCACTGCTCCCATGATGACCATTTAAGGAAAATCATGTCACTCACTGTTCTCAAACTTACAGGAAAGAAACATGGGACTAAAATATAGCTTCAGTAGGCAATGCAGTCTGTTTGGTAAATTTTTCTGGCAATTAAACAGTTTTTTGTGAAAATTTAATTTTTCACTTATTGGCATTTTCAAGGTGTGACTTAGAACCTCCACGGGCTTGAAGACCTTTGCTAGTTACATATTCTGAATATCCATGATACTAATATTTTATTATTAAAAATTGATGGTCATTATGCTGTTAAACATTATGTAATGTTGCATCAAAATAAAGAAAACACAATTTTTGGTGTTGCTGCCATGATGACCATTATGGGAAAACCATGTTACTTATGACTGTCAAACTTTCAAAAAAGAAACACAGGACTAAAATGCAGTCTGAGTTGGAAAAGCAGTCTAATTAGCTTCTTTTTCTGGAAGTTATACATTTTAGTGAAATATTCATTATTATCTTTTTGGCATATTCATTGTGGGACTCAGAACTCCCATGGACATGAAGCCGAATGGTAATCAAATTTTCTACCAGTCCTTGCTATTTATAGTCAATAATCAAAAATTGGTGATAATTATTTTATAATTTATTATGTAATGTTACATCAAAATTGACAAAAATCTTTTTGCACTGCTACTGCAAACATTATGAAAAGAAAACTGTGCTACTTATTATTATTTTTAACATACAAGTATGATTTTTAGGATTGGCATGCAGTTCAAATTAAAAAGCCAGGTCAATTGGTCAATTCTTTTATTATTGAATTTATGCAATTTTGTGTGAAATTTTCATTTTTCTCATTCTGGCACTTTCAAAGTATAAACTTGAACTCTGATGGGCATGAAGCCTTATGCTTTTACTTTTGNTAAGTATAAACTTGAACTCTGATGGGCCTGAAGCCTTATGCTTTTACTTTCGTCGGTGTTACCTGTTGTGCATAATTAAAATTTGATATTGACTGTGCAGTTAAACATAATGTATTATTGCATCAGAATTGGTAGTCTCCTACACTAGTGACTTGATTTGGTCTTAAAGTGCAATTTAATTTCACAAATAGTCTTACATGATCTTAAACCATGAATAAGACTATTTCTGGTCTAACAGCCAATTAAGTTGTCTCCCCTTACACATTCTCCTATTGTGAGCAGAGGTGTCCTCTATTGTGAGGGGAGGTATCCTCCATTGTGAGGGGAGGAAACTGCCTGACCACTTAAGTAGATGTTAGATTATTTTTGATCTTAAAAGCAGATTCAGTCTATTTCAAGACTACTGCTGTAATGTTTAAGATCGTGTAAGATCACTTGTGAACTAAAATTGCACTTTAAGACCAAATCCAGCCCACTAGTGCTATTTTGTACATTATTGTTTTGTGCTTTTCTTAAGATGTGACTTATGGGCCTGAAAGACCTTTGAGAGGGTCAGTCTGTAAATTTCCCTTGGGTATCACTTAGCTAATTTCAGTGTTATAAAGTCATTTGCCTAATTAATAGGTCTTTAACTGAGATTACATAAAGCACACTTGTTGATATTTCCCTGTAAACTCCCAAAGGTTAAGCTCTCTGCTAGATTAATAATAAGGAAGCAGTGATAAGTATGTAGGTAAATTTTGTTTAATATTGCAAATAAGTTATATATATAATAAAAAGAAAAAAATAACAGCAACTTTTTTGCCCGACTGGTTTTTTCTTTCTTCAGGGGGTTTTGTTTATTTGTTACTAGGTGATGTCATAAAGGCTAAAATGTGACATCTGTAACAATGGGTGTTTAATTGTTACTTTTACCAATGCTTTTATCTATTCAATGTAGGTTTATACTTATTAATGAATAGATTTTCTTTCATTTCCCTTTCTGTTTGGGTTGTTTCCCTAGTGAATTTATAAAATGGGAATACCGTGAAGTCCTTGTTTTTGTTCATAGAGCATTCCCTAATGTGCCCACTCACAGACGTGCACTGATATTCAGGTTGTCTTATTTGTTGTCTGTGAACGGTCATTCTATGTCGGAGAGTGTCTCCAGTTTGTCCTATAAAGTTCTCACCGCATCCACTTCAAGTTAATACATAAATTAAATTTGAGCTAGTGCAGGTGAATGGGTGTTTAATGTAATGTAAGTCCATTTTTAAATGTTATATGGCTCCCCTCTTTAATTAGTGGACAGGTGCCACACCTGGGTACCTCACATTTCTCTACTCGTATTGTTGAGGTTTCCAGATTTGTCCTGGAATTGTTTTCAAATTTTGCTTTTGTTAAAATTTGCTTTAGTGATGGACTTTGTCTCTTACTCTTTATAATCTGCATTTCGGTTAGGATCTCATTCATTTTGTTATCTTGTTTTACCAAAGGTAAGTTTCCAGTTATGACATTGTGTACTTCCGGATTTTTTGGATTATATGTTGATATGTACGGTATGGCTTCCTTTTTAATTTTGTCTTTGGTGGTCCTCAGGTCGTTCTTCTGACCGCTTCTCTTCCTAGCCTGTAAGGACCTGTGTCTCCATCTCTTGGAATTAGGTAACATATAATTTCAACTTGACCCCCCCCCTCCCCCTTTTTTTTTTCTTAGTCGGTGCATTGGCCTGGGTGTCACACGTGTTGAAATGAACCATTGTCAATAATTTTGAAAATTCAGTACTAAATATCTCCCAAACCGAAGGAATAATGTCCTTGGATTTGACCTTTGACCTTTATTTCAACGTCAAATGGGCCAAAATTTTCTAAAAATGAGAATTTCCTGCAAAATAATAAAAAAAAATTGTTTAAAGGTTTCTCTTCAGAAAACATGCCAAACTAAAAATATCTTTCTCCAAATACACAAATTAAAATTTTGGGCTTTAAAAAACATCCCTTTTGCTCGGCCTGGGAGTAAATGACGGAAGGAGAGAGCCAAGCAGAGTGTTTAGCTGTCAAACTGAGCTGCATTGTCTACCTGTAAAATGACTTTTTTGACTCCTGAGAAAAGTTATACTCATTCAAATCTCTTAACCGAGGGGTCTAAATCCTCGTGAAGCCGTATGAAGCCATTTTCCCATCTATTCAATTCTAAAACTAGCATTTAATTATAGTTATCCCAACTAGTATAAAATACTGCATTCGAATGACTTGAGGATACCTTTGATCATTTGATGTGAGGTACTTGTGAAATTCAATTTATTAAACCCTTACACCCTACGGCTCATCAGAATGAAATTTAATAAAAATATAAAGTCATAAAAACAACAACAATAAAACTACTAGTAGTTAGGCCACACTTTTTTATTTTTATGGATGACATCCTCTGGGGACCCCAAATCGGTGCGAGAGGGCGAAAAAAAAAAAAAAAACAGTAAAAAAAAAATTTACCTCAGAAACACGTATCAAACTAACAATATGTCTTTATCCATGCTCTCAAAATATTAAAGCATTGTGAATACTTCGTAGAAAGATTAAACAAGGCAGCAAAGCTGTCAAATGTACAGACAAAAAACAGGAAATAACTATGCACAAAATAGGCTACTGTCAATTCTGATGCAAAAATACATTATGTTAAACTGCAAATTTAACATCAAATTTTAATTATCCTCAACAGGTAATACCAATGTAATTAAAATATGTGACAAGTTTACACTTTGAAAATGTATAACTTCCAGAAAAAGAAGTCACTTAGACTGCTTTTCCAACTCAGACTGCATTTTAGTCCTGTATTTCTTTTT